AATGCCAGAGAGTATATGGCAGCATGCAGGAAGGTGCTGGAGAGGTAGTAGCTGAGAGCTACATCCTGATCATCAGACAGAGAAAGAGAGGGCAGGGGGCTGGTGTGAGCTTTTTAAAACTTCAAAGCCCAGCACAAGTGGACACATTTCCTCCAAAAAGGCCACACACACTACAGCAAGTCCACACCTTCTAATTCTTCTAATCCTTTCAAAGAGTTCCACTCCCTGGAGACAAAACATTCAAAAGAATGATGGCAATTCTTTTCAAACCACAACTACCTGCAACTGCCATCATAGATAGAGAAAGGTTATACCAGAATCCTTGTAATGTCCTAGTGTCTTTCTCTAAAGTGGCAAATATGAATGTTATTTTATTTTCATCTTAAGTTTTATTAGGTATATGGAGTCTTTTCTTCTCGTTGCTGTTGATTTTAACCTCAAGAGGAATGTGTTTTAATTTTTTTAAACATTCAGGATTTTTATCTTGGTCAATCATGCCTCCCAGATTATATCATACCACTCTACTGTGAAAAAACTATTATACCATGATACAGGTCATGTTTCTAGATCTTTGTTTAGGAGGATGTGGAACTACTTGATCATTTATGGCTTAATTGTCATAGGTAGCTTACACCATGCCATTGCAGAGTTAGCAAAATCATTTGTCCTGACCCAAAATCTTCAGTGTTTATCATGATGATAAATCTCTTGTACAGATCTAAGTCTTCCAGACTTAAAATTCCAGCTGCATTTCTTTTATACAATAGATGAAATTACAGTGATAGTGAGGTATTGAGAATTGCAAACCAAGACACATTCTGGTCCTCAGCATTTGGAGTCGACACAGGTTACACAAGTAGTTCTTTAATAAAAAGGTCTTTCTTTTACTACCAGAGAGGAAGAATAGTCTACCTAGTAGCTACTATTTTAGGCCTCATCTTTACAAATGCAAAATATTTTTAAAGATTTATTTTTATTATTTTGTAACTGTGTGTATATGTGTATATCTGTGTGGGTATTACACACCAGTGTAGGGGACCACAGAGTCCAGAGCTTGAGTTACCCACAGGTGTGAACCACTAGAATTCAATTCTGGGAACTGTACTTGTGTTTTCTGGAAGAACGGGAAATGTTCTTAATCACTTAGTAGTGTTTCCAGCCCCTATTTCTTTAAAACTAGAATTTACCCTTACCAGTGTTTAATCTACATCTGAAGAATTGTAAAATGAAAAAAATCCTTTTTAAATTAATTAATTAATTAAAAAAGTTTTTGAACATAAGTTTTATTTTTAATTTTTATTTTGGAAACAGTAAATTATATAGTGTTTTCATAGATAGTTCTAATCATATCACAATCATCATACTAATTTCAAATTTAGAATTATTATATAGCTGCCATCTGATTATACACTGATTCTGTGCCAAAATATTTGTCATATATGAATAAAGATTTATACATTAAAATTTGAGTAGTGAACCAAAGAAAGACAATTCATAGTATATGTGTAACAATATGATATTTTGTATCAGTTTCTGACAAAAAATTGCCCTATAATATTATCCTTATGTGGTTGTTTAAAAATCTTTGATTAGCTCATTTTGAAAGTATGGAACTAATCCATGAGGTCTTAGTTATGTTGCTATAGACAATGGGATTGAACACTGGCCCTGTGACTTATTGCCCTCATTTTATATCACTATTAATCAATGCTTATAATAATTAGTTAGCTAACTAGAGGATTTAGTAGTACTCCAGTATTAAACTATCCAGAGAAACACATAGTCAGTTTTCTTCAGTCTGTAGTTAAGATTACCAAAAACCAACAATAATTTAATAAACACTTGCAAGATCATTTTGTAAATGCTGGGATACTAGTTGCAGAAAAAGATAAATGTGATACAGTTTCTATTTAAAGCTGTGAAGAGTCGCAGAAATAGTAATAGCATTCTATTATTATCAAAGTCACTTCACACTGTCAACAGAGCATGAGTTAGGTAATTATGGACTGAGCTTTCCTTACTGTAGGGTTTCACTATAAAATTTGTATGTTTGATCTAGCAAGCTTGTTTCTCATTTATAATAGTCACATGACATTTTATTTTGGAAATGAAACTGACATTAAAGAAAATATATGTAATTTACTTCTTTAAAGTCAAAACCTTCCTTTTTGAAATAAAGAAAAGGGGAAGTGCTGGGGATGTCTTTCTGTATGCTGTGAAAGTGTGTTGCTCTGATTTGGTTCATAAATAAAATGCTAATTGGCCAGTAGCCAGGCAGGAAGTATAGTATAGGCGGGATAAGCAGAGAGGAGAATTCTGGGAAGAGGAAGGCTGAGTCAGGAGTAGCCAGCCAGACACAGAGGAAGCAAGATGTGAAGGCAGAACTGAGAAAAGGTACCAAGCCACATGGCTAAACATAAATAAGAATTATGGGTTAGTTTATGTGTAAGAGCTGCTCAGTGGTAGACTTGAGCTAATGGCCGAGCAGTTTTAATTAATATAAGCCTCTGTGTGTTTACTTGGGTTCAAGCAGCTGCAGGACTGGCGAGTGAGAGAGATTTGGCCTGACCATGGGCCAGGTGGGACACAGGAAAACTTCAGCTACATTAATCTTTTCCCATTTCTTCTATTTTTCATTCTTCTCCATATTTTGATTCATTTCAGATAAAATTCATTAGTGTTTTTATATCAGTTTAGCAAATATAAGTAGTTGCAAAATTAATTAATTAATTACTTGCCTTCCCTTTCCCTGCTGGGAAGCAGAACTCAAGTGCTTTTAAAATTCTTTATAGGATTCAAAAATGTCTAGTCTCTTCTAAACATGTATGTTTTTATTGCCATTTTATAACTGGTGTGTAGGAAGTAAAATGAAGTTGCTTAAAGAGCACTGGTCAAGTAGCCCAGTTTTTCAGTTAATAACTAGCCAACCCAATACTAATCATTAGAAGTCTTGCTACCTCTCTCCATTTTACTTTCTCATCAAGATGTCTGATGACACAAATGACAAGTAGAAGTTGTCATTACTGCTATATTCTATTAAATATACATGAAGTAAGCTTTTGGGCTTACATATGTAGCTTTCAGTAGAGATGAAATATTTGACATCTAAGTAACATTTAAAATATTCTGTCAAACCTGGACTTTTATTATGTAGTTATATAGTACACAGATCCCTGTACATTGCCCTTGGTGAGAACAGAAACCTTTTCATACCCTGTTTGTAAGATAAATCATGCAAGAACTATAGTTTTTTAAATTGGGAAAGTATGTAGTATATTATTAAATCACAAAATCAGAGGGACTCTTGAAAACATACATATAAATAACACTATCTTGACTGAGCAGGTAGTATTTATGTATTTAGAAATATATATATATATATATATATATATATATATATATATATATATATATATATATATATTTATGTAGATGATTGTAACAACAATTAATGGAAAAAGAGGCCATGAATTTGAATGAGCACAGGAGGGGTAGGTTTAAGGGAGGGTTTAGAGGAAGAGGGAAATGACACAATTATAATCTCAAAACATAAGAGAAATTATTTTTAAAAATGAACAAAAGATGCTTAAATTCTGTTCTCATATCATTTCCAGAGAAAGAGGTGACCTGTATCTTGCCTCAGGTTTGATTCAGACATAAATCTCATTTTTTACTAATGAGAATGTGAAGTAGCTATTATTTTTAAGAAATTTAGTTTTTAAAGTTACATTCCTAAAAATAAGCAACATACATATCTGGAAATATGATGCCATATGATTTTTCTCCATACAAATAGAATGAATCAGATCCTATAGCATTTTATTATTTGAATTTACTTGCAGTGGTCTGCTTCCCTACTCTGTAATATGTTGGGCCATATTTATACTAGAGTATTAATAACTAACTATAACCCAAGCTAAGTTAGCTACTATTCTTTAGGGAGAATAGCACATATCAAGGTTTTTTCTATGAATAAAATAAGGTTCATACAGTTAATTTTGCATTTAGTTTGAATTGAATGAGCCTAAGACAGAATTATGTTGGTTGTAACCTCACATATTTTTTATCTTTCTTTTATTCGAGTTAGGGAACCATGACCCATCAGTGGTAATTCCAATGTCAAATAATTTAGTGCTCATTTGAAACTTAGAAATATATCAATTCTACAGCAACTTAAAGTAACACTGGGCTTAGGACTTAGACTCACTTAAAAAAATAGATGAATAGTTCCAAAATAAGGTAGCCACTAAAAAAGAAAATCTGGTAACCTATTTTTCCTCTGCTGAAGCTTATTACTGCTTATTGAGTCTCTTTCATTAATATAAGTGGGCAAGTGCTAAGGAAACACTCGAAAGGAAATATCAGAACAGTGTAGGAAAAACCATAAATGCATTTTGCTCAAAACATAAACCTCTGAAGACATTGTAGACACCCACTTGGTAATGTTCAACATGAGCAATTATTTTTAAATAAATGTCCTGCCAGGGAAGGAATTCTCATCTAGAAGAAGTATTACAACCTTTACCAGAGATTTTTTTGCCATAATAGAAAATGGTATGGATTTTTACTGATGTTTTAAACAATGAAGGAAAACAGACAACCTCCTAAATGCCTTGTTTATTAAGCTAACCATGCATTTTACTACAGGTTATAAAGCAGTAGAGTATACTCAAAGGGCTCATAAGCATATTTTAGTTTGGGACTATCATTTAGACCATTTTCATATTGTTGATATCACCCACAGAGAATAAAATTAAGATTTAAAAATTGTAAATCTGCAGTTTTCATCATTTCAGTAAATTTCATTTTTTTTAAATGAAGCTTCCACTATAAGACAAAGCTAATAAAATAGAATATGGATTACACCCATATTTATTCAAATGCTTAATATTTATATGTATATCTATCACAGAAAATACTATAAATTGAGTTTGTAGTTAATTTTTGATTCTCTTTTTGGGGATGACATTTTGACCAGGTCTTATTGTTTTTCTGTGCAGCCTGAACACTGATGCCGGAACTCCAAGTGATCAAAGACACGGATAGGGTGCTGTAGCAGTTACCTGCTTACCTAGTGTTGTGATTCTTTAGAATTCATACTCAGATTCTTTTAAGATATGGAACATTCAATTACTATTTGTTCATAATTGATGGATAGAACATTGAACACCTAGGAAAAATGCGCTGGAGATTGGACTTCCCAAGTTTTTAAGGGGCAATCATAATGACTGAACGTACTACTTTTATAGTTTCTTTACTCAATACTTTCAATGAGCTCATAGTGCTTCACAAACATTATCACGTTTAACCACACAGCAGGTTTGTAGTGGCATAAGTAGGTGGAACAATTTTGAAGATGGATAAAGTGCTATTTCTAGATTGTATGTGAGAAAATAAAATGCAGAAATACTTACTTTGAGCTGTGCCTATTATGGAATAGCTTTCTATTTCTCCACTATGGTATTTAATATAACTTGTATTAGCAGACAATTTATTGGTACAAATGATTGATATTTGTTCCCATGGTCTGTGAGCTCACTTTGTAGAAGAAACTGCCTGATTTGTTCTCTAAGAAAACATAGAGAGCTTTAATTTCTTGATCATGACATGACTACATTTTCCTTTGAACTGATGGTGGTGGAGCAAGTTATTTACTCCCTGTCATATCCCTTATCTTTAAATAAGACATTGATAAAAGATGTTCCCCAGCATACTAAATATGACTCCTTTATTCTTTTCTTCTTCCTTTATGTCCCAAACATTGCTTATTTCTTATTATACTAGCAACAGAAATAATTATAAGAGTAAAAACTACAGACACAGGAAAGGAGAAAAGCAGATATGATGGGTCACTCACCTTATGAATATTTACACTATTCAACCTCTGGTCTAAGTATAATCAGGTAACTAGCATTTTCAAGAGATTTATAAATGGTTAATTTGGCCTGAATTGCTCAGTATATGTCCTGAAATATTTTTAACAGTTTACTTACTAAAGACATGGCCACAAATTTGTGATATATAATTATTACCATTTTCACACTTCCTAAGAATCTAATAATCAGTATTTGAGTGATCAAAAACCTTTAATGACACTTCTCAAGTATTTCCATTACACCAGAAAAATCTTATTCACTGTGTAGTATCTGCCCTAGATTTTGACAAAAAATGCTACTCATGCAAATTGCCAAATGAGATTTAATCCATTTTCCATTAATCACTTCCTTGAAGTAATATATGTAGTTTCTTTTGTACTAACGACCAAACTGAAATAAATTTAAAAATAATACATTAATTCAAATCAATATGATGTAGTGGTTGTTTCATATCCTGAATAATTTTTTTCTAAGATATAAATATTTTGCTTTTGGTGATGCACACAGGATCTACTTGTATACAATCTATTATGTTTCAGCCAACTGCATCAAAATAATACCAATTTAGAAATGATTTTTGAAGATGAAATAAAATATTTTGGCCATATAAAATATATGATCTGAATAAAAATGATCTATGGCTAAAGGTACAACATCCAGAATTAACTCTTCATCATATAGGCAGAGAACATGTACTAAATGATACAGAAAATTGAATAGTATTTTAAAATCAGATCACTTAAAACTACTTTAGGTGAATGGTAGAAATCCTCATGGTTTTTCTTTCTGGCATTTCCCACTTGTTTGCTCTTGGGTCTTTATGACACCCAATGTTAGTTATTCCTTTCTATAAACTTTAGAAGTATAACACAGGAGGCAAATGTCACAGGTACTGGATTTGGGACAGTCAAGTGTGGCTCTTGATGACTCAACCTATCGTGAGAGGGTGTCCTACATGGAGAAGACCATACCAACCGTTCTGTCCCAAGTGAGGCATTTCAACAATGAGGGAAGGATTGCATAAACCTGTATTTTTACTTAAAACACTGTTGTATCTACATATATGTAATTCCCCATTTTGCCCACTGGATAAATATTAAAGCAGTAAACTAACTGCCTGCTCTCACCAAGTGTCAATGTATATGTCCCTTATGAGTTTCAAAGCACCTAACATTTCTCTGGAGAGGGGTCTTTCATTGCTTTTCCTAATCTATAATCATGTTTACACACAGAATGCATATGAGATCATCTCTTATGTTCAGGTGTAAACCCTCTTAAAAACATGAAGCAGTCAACTCCTAATTAGCTGTTTCCTATTCCTAATGAAGTGAGCATGGCAGATTTGGATTAAAATTCAGATGCAGCTCTCTTCTGTTTATGGTTCCAGATGTTTTTGTTTTATCTAGGAGTTTACTTTGACAGCTACTACTAAATGATAAATCACTCATGTTATAGTTAAAATGAATTTTGAAATTGAAACGTGGCAAACTTTGAGATTGTTCCAAGGAACAGTGTTGATTACCAGGTCAATACTTGTTCCTTCCTTATCATCAGTCTATATTGGGATACTCAAAGAAGTAACAGACAATGTCTCAATATTATAGAACATGTTGCACTGTTTGGATACTGCTATCCTTAAAATTTGGAGAAGTTTTCCTATTGGGATATCAACTTATGGTATTCTGGGTAAACAAATTGATTTATATCATAATGTAGTCTTCTTGGTAGCCTAGTGTTTCTTTTGATTTGCAAGCTGATGTGGAAACTATTCCTGATAGGCTTTGTAAGTGGGCACATTTAATGAAAGTTGTACACAGATATGTTTGCCTCTTGTAACAAAGATAAGAATTAAACATGATAAAGTGAAAGATTTTTCAAAAACTGCATTTTTCCAAAAGACAAACAGTGATTGTCTTTTCCATTCATTGCTGTGTTTATATAACTTTTTAGATGACATGGTTTGTTTTACCATTGCTTTAAAATGTGTAATGTTCACAATTTGCACTGCATGATTCAAGTTTTATTATTATTGTATAAATTTCAATCCTGGTAAAAATGACTGACATTTGATGTTGATGACCTTTCCATTGATATTGAGACTATGCATACAGAGGATGAGGTGGATTGTAGAACTGAGTAAGTATTTGGTCAATATCATCACGACTTGAACTGTCTGCAAGATTGGATTTCATTACAGTACTCAGACTCTATCTCAAAAAGACGAGGTTATACATTTTTCTGGGGTTAAAGATTAACCAACAGTTATTAAAAATAGGTTTTTATTTTCTGGTCACTGCAACATAAAAGTTAATTCCATTGTTTTCTTGAGCAAATTTCTATTTACCTGCTAATGAAGACCAACACTCTAGCTTTTCTGATTAATGCAGAATCAATTATTTTATTCTATTACCTTATATCTCCTTGATTTTTGGTTTAAAAGTAATTCCTAGGAAATTATATTAATTTACCTAACATGAAATCTTCTACACAGAAAAAAAATATTATAGAGATTTCACATACTTTCCTCCTTACAACTCAAAACCTTTTTCCAATCTGAGATATGATTTTAAAAAGACAATATCAGTCAAGTGTGATCATGCTTGCTTCCTTCTGCACAAAGAGGGCAAATTTGATTCACAACGATGTAATTTTAAGTATTACTTGAGCACAGGGAGTGGATTTGTGCACATTTATGAACACATTCTTTCCTGCTTCCTCTTCTGCAACCAAAGGAAAATTTTGTTGATTTAGCTAGCTAAACAAGCAAGTCATAAACCAGTACAATGGAAAAGAGCAATTTTAAGCTCCAAGAGGCAGACTAGAATTTCCTTTTCATTCTCAATAATAAACTTTATCTATATCAATCAAATGCTACATAACCATCAGATGATATGGACTCTATGTTACAAATATTTAAATGAACATTGGTTTTACCACTTAGGTTTCAAATGATATAAGAACTAGTCTCTATATAGTGTGCACAATCTTACAGTTAACATGGGGAATGAAAATTCTAAATGACAAAGCTGTCATTGTTTTAGAGCCAAACCAGGTAATGTCTTTCGTTCTGTTTTGGTAAAGCACAGGAGCTTCAAGTGTAACATTATGTACAAAAGGAAAAACTAATATAGATCTCTATAGACATTATAAAATAGTTTATGAAAAGAGTCTTTATCAGTTTTTCATGTCTTCAATGCTGTATAAAGAAGAGGAGTTGTAGCATGAAGTTTACTTGAAGGATCTTTGAAATCTGATGCATTAACATAAAGAGATGCAAAATTAAATTTTACCTATATTAAATCAATCCTGTTACATCAAATCATTTTAGGTTCCTGAAGATAGATGTTTTAGTACTTTCATACCTATGCTTCAGTAATGTTCCACAGAAGAATTAACATGTTTTCTCTTTTTTAAAGGAGGTAACTATTACTGTTTAGCAATGGCACAGCAGTTGTGTTCAGCCTGAAAGGTCCCTGCTGACTTGCATTAATGAATATGCTTGTGATTCCAGTATATCTCAGAAAATATCCATCATGGAGTTATTTCAGTTGTGTTTATCAAGAAAACTTTGTTTACTGAATCATCTTTTCCATGTTACATTAAGGAAAAAAGGAACATGTGCATATTTTAAAAGCAGTGATGTAAACGTTGTCCTTTCATTAGATTGACCAGTTTAAGAACATGAACTAAATCCTGATGACTAAAGTAACTTGACCATACTTGATGCTTTTTTATGCTCATTTCTGCTTGGCTTTTGTCCTTCAAAGAAAAAAATACAGTAGTATCTTAGAGACTAGAAACTTATATGTATTGTTTCTTTGTTCTACCATATGTTAAGTACACTTTTGTTTAAAATGTACTTGCTAAACTTCAGTATAAATAAAAGCATTTTGACTTTGTCAGTTATCACTGAGTTTTTATTTTCATATTGCCAACTGCAATCATTGAAGAACATAGCAGAAACATTAAAATCAAAATCTAGAAAGTATGAAGATGCTTGTATACATTTCTATAGTGTTGTGTTAAAAAGTATGAATGCAATTTTTTCCAGTTCACCTGTTTAAATGTCCAGTATTCTTGTTTTCAGTTGTTTTAGTGACTCACACTAGATTTTCCCTTCTTGTGTGTGTTTGCTTAATGATTCTGCTTTTAGGATGGAGGATTGCAATCAGTAGAAAAATATCATAAATGAAGAACTAGGAACTAGGAAATATTCTCTGTATAACTATTTCTTAAAGTTTCTTTTAGACCCACTTTCAATTGAAAACTATATGAAATAAAATCATATATATGGTATATATACACACATATATTTTATATAATTTATGAGTTCCTTATCTGACAAACCTGCAAATACTCCAACCATTGTGATACCTTGTTTTGCCCTTGATTTTTCAGTGTGAATTTCACTAACTACCATCAATAAAAGCCATACTACAACTTGAATGCCATACTACCTTAAACTTTCCTCCTCTACATAAACTTACCCACCATCTTTATGTTTGACCTCACAACATCTCAGAACACAGCTACAAGGCACCTAAATTCTTTTCTTTTTGACAGAGAATTCATAGAGATATAATTGTATATCAACATATTCAGAGAATAGGTTCAATTACTTTAACATAAAGTTGATACTTTATATCACTTTAAATATTATTATATATGAACATACACTAAAACAAAAAGTAGTAAGATGTTCAACACAAAATTCATATAACATAGTTCATTATTGCTGTTTGTTACTCAATTGGTAATATTGACATAGGTTTATATGTATTCATTATATATGCCAACACATAATTAAAAACAGACTTTTCCAAACACTCAGCATTGAGTTTAATACTCCAGTACAATTTGCCAGTACACTTTTCATTTCCCAGATCCAAGTCAGTTGCGAAATTCTTTCTCTTCTGGATTCCCTTGTTCAGCAGCTCTATCTCATATTTTTTTTTCCACTGAGTTTTGCCTTAGCTGTAAATTAAGTGTATTTCTATAAATGAATCATGGTCTTCAAAGAATATAGACTAGTTTTAGAAGCATTAGTGAAATGTTGAAGAATACTAATATTATACTATCATTTCTATGAATAAAAATACCCAAGAAGAGCTTAGAAATACTTACAAAAAAGTTTAAAAACTTTGATATTTTAAAAGCAGATGCATACAGACTATTTAAGCTTTCCAGGTAATCATTGCAGTATTCAGAGCTGGACACAGGCAAGTGTGTTGGTTGTTTTTGTCTACTTGACCAAAACATAGACATATCTGGGAAGAGGAAATCTGAATTGAGAACCCATGTCTCCATAAAATTAGCCTGTTGGCAAACCTGTAGGGTATTCTCTTGATTAATGATTGATGTAGGAGGGCCCAGCTCATGGTAGGTGGTGCTACCCTAGACAGGTGGTCCTTGGGTGCTGTGTAATAGCCCTCTTGTACACTGTAAAGATTTGTCATTCAAATTGGTTTAATAAAATGCTGATTGGCCAGTAGCCAGGCAGAATGTATAGGAGGGGAGACCAAACCAAGGATAATGGTAAGGAGAAGGGTGGAATCAGGAGTCACCAGCTAGACACAGAGGGAACAGTAGATGAACATGCCATGTTAATAAAGATACAGCCACATGGCAAAGCATAAATAGAAATATGGGATAATTTAAGTGTAAAAGTTATCTAGTAACAAGCCTGAGCTATCGACTGAGCAATTATAAGTAATATTAAGGCTCTGAGTAATTATTTGAGAGTGGCTTTGGGGCACAGGCAAACTTCTGTTTATATTTGGGTATATACAAAAGAAAGCTATTTAAGCCATGGGGAACAAGCCAGTGAACATCACTCCTCCACGGCCTCTGCATCAGCTCCTGTATTCATTTTCACTGTTAGAGCCACATGAAAGATACACAGCACAGGATGGACTAAATTAGCTGAGCCCAGGAAGTCATGATGAAGTCAAGTAGGGGAAATTCAGAGATGATTTTAGACCCAATTCTTACCTGCAAGGAGCTGTGTGTACCCCTACTTCTGCTTCTTTTATGGAATAATAGAAATATGTAGTCTTCTACTTCCTTTTTTTCTTTTCATTTTTCTTTATTAAGAAATTTTCTACTCACTCTACATACAACCCACAGATCCCCCCTCCTCCCTCCTCCCACCCTCCAGCTCTCCCTCCCTAGCCACCCCACATTCCCACTTCCCCCAAATAAGGTCTCCATGGGGGGAGTCAGCAAAGTGTGGCACACTGAGCCTAGGCAGGTCCAAGCCCCTCCCTACTGCACCAGGGATGCACAAGGTGTCACACCACAGGCACTGGGCTCCCAAAAGCCTGCCCATACACCAGGGACAGATCCTGATACCCCTGCCTGGGTGCCCCTGAACAATTCGAGCCAAACAACCGTCTTCCATATCCAGAGGGCCTAGTGCAGTCCCATGGGGGCTCCATGGCTACTAGTCTACAGTTCATGGGCTTCCACTAGTGTGGCCCCGTCATCTCTGCACGTCTTCCCATCATGATCTTAATGTCTCCCACCTGCAGAATCTCTCCTCTCTCTCATCCATTGGGTTCAGCCTGGCACCTGGCCATGGATCTCTGCATCTGCCTCCATTAGCCACTGGACAAAGGCTCTATGATGACAGTTAGGGTATTCACTAGACTGGTCACCAGAGTAGACCAGTCCAGGTACCCTCTAGACCACTGCTAGCATTCCAAGTTGGGATCATCCTTGTGGATTCCTGAGAGCCTCCCCGGCACCCTGCCTCTTCCTATTCCCGTGATGTCCTCATCTATCATGGTATCTCCCTCCCTGCCCTCCCACTCTGTCCCTGATCCAGCTTGACCCTCCCATTTTCCTATGTTCTCATGCCCCACTCCTCACCCTCCGCCACCCCCGCCACTCCCAGGGCACCTAAATTCTTTATCGCAGCGTTAAAAGCATGGTATTTAGTTCACATTCCAATAAAGTTCTTATATTCATCGGAAACTTCATCAACATGTCCTCTAATTCCTATCAGTAATGGCCCCATCCCATTAAACTTTTCCTACATTTACTTATGTTTACTCTAACTTTCCTCCAAACTTTTGTAAACTTACCCTGTAAAAGAGTTATGTTTCTCAAAACCATAAGCTACATGATAATAGCAAAAAACATCCTTTCATACCAGCTTTCTGGTTTCTTCAGTTTTGGATTTTAATCTCAGATAGAAATAACTGAAATACAGCATATAAAGTTAAAATGTTCACTTTGACTCAGGGCTTCAGAGATTCCAGACTACAGTGGGTGACTAATACCTTTAGGGACTGATGCATAGCATCATGGTAAGAGTGTACATTCCAAAGCAAAACTCCTCACCTTATGGATAGGTTTCCATAAAGTAAAAAGCCTAGCCACGTTTTCTCCTCTTCTCCCCTTCAAGCATTTATCCTCAGTAACCTGAAATCTCAAAAAGGCTCTATCTTTTACTAGTGACATAGACTGGGCAGTAAACCTTTACTATGGAACATTTTTTGATACATACCTATACCATAGTATCTAGATAATATTATTCATGTATTATCAATCTACAGTGGATTTTGATGTGAAGATATTTTTCCTCCAGTGAGCACTGGTCATGTGATGTTTTACTCATTTGTATCTGTGATATTGTTCCAAAAGTAACTTAACTTAAAAAGTGAGATTTTGAAGAGAATAGAAATCTCAGGCTGGAGAGATGGCTTAGCAGTTAAGAGCACTGGCTGTTCTTCCAGAGGTCCTTAGTTCAATTCCCAGCAACCATGTGATGGCTCACAACCATCTATAATAAATTCTGGCACCCTTTTCTGGCCTGCAGGCATACATGCAGGCAGAACACTTTATACATAATTAATAAATATATCTTTTTAAAAAGGAAAGAATCTATGATGACCATCAAAATTCAAATTAATCGAGGTTAGGCACATAACATTTATTTGAGCAATTACACTGCGAAAGACTTAGCTCTTTTGATCACTTAGCTCTCAAGATTACAAACATAAAACTGATTTTTTAACAAAATGTTTACTTAAACTTACAGAAAAATTAACTCCAATCACACATATAGCTAAGCTTCTCCATTTAAAGTTTAACAACTGTCAAAAGTTGTAATTCAAAATAAATAAGAAGTCATAGTCTTCTCTCTAGTTGTGATGCCAGGTAAGAGATAGCAGAATGTAAAGATACTAAAAGTTCTAGAGCAATGTGAACACACTCAAGAATGCATCATTAATCAAAAATGGCCATTTTACAATTAGTAGATAAACATCAGTGACTGGCCTGCAAAAAATGCCTTATGTAGAAATAAATTCCAATGGAATCAAAGTAATAGTATTTACATTATAAGTAATTCAGATACTCAGATAATTAAATTTCAGTATGTATGACTCAAATATAAGGAAGGATGAGACTGGAAGCTAGAATAACCGGCCAGCGTTGTGAAATTGCAGTGGAGCATCAATGAATAGCATAATTAAAGGGGTGACAAAGAAATACCACCTCAGTCCTAGTAGAAGAATGGAAGAGACAGACAATGAAATGCATAAGATTTTTAGTTAGAGATGCTAGGAAATAATTTTTCTTGACTAATATAGACCTACATTCTAGAGCATGGTGGATAGGTAGCAAGGCACATATTTCAAGAAACTATTTGGAGATAAATCTGTAAGTAGTATCAGATTAAACAGAAAAGATGAAGAGAGGAAATTATATACCACAAAATACCAAGTTCATGTTTTCCCATATATTTCTAATTTAAAAGAAAGATATATGTCATAGTGCTATACAAACTATTGCTTTTCACAGACATTTACAATGTTATGAGAATATAATGTATTTCAGGGTCAATGACACATTTAAAACATGATTTTGGCAAGGTTTAATATTAGTATTTATGGTTTTAC